AGATCTATATCTCTAAACATGTTGAATGCATGTTGGCATTGTGGTTTAACCTATGTGGCACCAGAGACTGGTTTTGTGGAGGCCAGTTTTTCGGCGGATTGGAAAGGGAATGGTTCTTAAGTCTCTTATAAGGGGCACATAAGTTAGAGCTAATTTGTGTAGAGGTCATAGTAGGACTTGCCTCGTGGCCAGGGTAGGAATGGCAGCCATGAACATAAATGAAGTGTGGTTTGCTCACCGTGCACACACTGCTGTGTGCCAGATGTGTGGCCAGCCATGAGCAGTGCTTGTCATGTCCAAGAACCCCTGCGTGCAAGTAGCAAAGTAGGATTCTGTGACCTAACAGTTACTGCTGCACTTCTGGTATTTCACATTTGCATGTTAGGTAAAGTGGGTTGGTGTAACATGTGAAATTCATGTAATGGGTTTAATTGCCTTTATTTATAGTAGAATGTTAATTTCTTTTTTTTTAAATTATTGTTTATTTTTGTGTATGTGGCCAGCTCAGCCCACCAGGGGGCGGGGCTGGCTGGCATGTGGTGCTGGGGATTGAACCGCGGTCCCTGTGCTTTGCTAAGATTGTTCCAAGTAGGTGCTTTAGACCACTGAGCCATCTCACCAGCCCAGAATGTTAATTTCTAATAGAATGGTTCTATGAAAATTAATAAGATATGCAGCATTTATGTCTATACTTAACAATTTCAAAAAGTAATAGATTGTAGGCTTTTTTATGTATTTAGTACAGGGTCTACAGGGTCTCACTACGCAGACTTGTGATAATGCTCGTTTTCAGTTTCCTAAGCACTGGGATACCAGGTGTGTGCCACTATGTCCAGCCTCAAGCCACTGGCGCAGCAAGCTGGAGATCAAACCTTGGTCCTTGGGCCTGCTGAGCTATCTGGCTGGCCCTGACAGCTTTTTTAAACCTCATGAACCTACTTTTTGTCAGCTTGGAGTTTTTCTGTAGTTTCCTTTTCATCCTTCACTGAGATGAATAGAAGAAATAGAGACTTGCTCAGGATTTGATGTAGTTTTTAAAGAGATTAGTTGGTTGGGGCTGGGGAGATGGCTCAGTGGAATAAGCGCTTCCCTGGCAAGTGCAAGGATCTGAGTTCAATCCCCGGTTCCACAAAAAAAAAAAAATAAAATAAAATTAGTTGGCTGGTTTGGTCAATGCATACTACAAAAACATTCTCCATATCAGCTCATCTCCTTACTTAGGATGAATATTCCTTAGAATTGGAGTTGTAATCAGTTTAATTTTTTAAGCTTTATTTTGAAATTAGTAACTTAGCTAACTTTTGTTTTGTCTTGGTGTTTGACATGTTTTAAATACTGAATAAGAGTTTAATTAGATTTGCAATTTATTGATTTAAATACATAAGAGGCCATTGTAGGGTCATTTCCTACATATTAGGAAATAGGATGAATGAGGTAAAGACATGGGTGAACAGGTCATCACTGGAGGTTATAGAGAACACAGCATCTAAATCTCATAGGTTCATAACTATCCAGATTTAGATATTAACATCAAGATATCATTCATTAATAACAGATTCTCAAGATTTTAGATTTATATAACAGACATGCAATCCCAGCAGACTGAGACTTAAAACCTAGGATTTAATTCATAATTCCTTAAAAATGAACAATTACGGAATAAAAAATTTCATTATGGATTTGAACCAAACTATGTCTATTGCATATTTATTATAAAGTGTAGTATGTGCTATTTATCACCTGTACTTTTAACATGAGGTGACTGAAGGACTTAATGTTGCTTTGTTATGCAGACAGCAATTTTGCATATGCAACTCACCTTACTCTCAACAGAATTCTTTTTTAAAAAAATATTTATTTGTGTGTATGTGTGTGTGTGTGTGGCCATCTCAGCCCACCAGGTGCCGGGGCTGGCTGGTATGTGGTGCTGGGGGATTGAACCACGGTCCCTGTGCTTTGCTAAGCTTGTTCTAAGTAGGTGCTTTAGACCACTGAGCCATCTCACCAGCCCTCAACAGAATTCATGAACTTTGTGTAATGACCACTTTTTCCATGTGCCAAATATTGAAGTTGATTATCAAGACCTTAAGGAGCATTTTGTTGAACTTTATACTTTTGTTTTGCCTTGCTTGATTTTTTTTTTAATTTTTATTAATTTGTGTGTGTGTGTGTGTGTCCAGCTCAGCCCACCAGAGGGAGGGGCTGGTTGGCATGTGGTGCTGGGGGATTGAACCATGCGGTTCCTGTGCTTTGCTAAACTTGTTCTAAGTAGGTTCTTTAGATCACTGAGCCATTTCACCAGCCCTGCCTTGCTTAATTTTTAAAAATTTTTTCTAAATTCTTCAACATTTATATCTAAGTTGAATATATTGGTAGTGTTTGAACTTCATACTTGTAATGCTTTAATTGGTTAAGTTGGGAAAATAGCAAGTCTTCCTATGGTGACATTTCAGAGCATTGGACAATTTGCTTACTGGATCTTATTCTATGTATGTGATTGATTGATTGATTGATTGATTGATTTATTTATTTATTTGCAGAACCAGGGATTGAACTCAGGCCTTGTACTTGCCAGGCAACAGGTTATTGTACTGAGCTTTCTCCCAGGCCCACTGTGTGTGATCTTTTTGCAAGCTTGTGTTTTGTTAATCATGATTTCCTCTTGTTTGCCAGATTAGGCTGTTGAAATTGAGGAGTTCTTATAGGATGCAGATGACATATTTCTCAGCCAAGAGTACTATCTTAGTGTGGAACAATACTTTCATTTTGTCTTTTTGTTGTTGTTCCTGAGAAAAATAACTGAAACCCAAAATGAAGAAAGGAACGGTATGCTTACTTAGCTCCTGATTTATGAAGGTTTTAGCTGTCTCCAAAGCAGAGGGAGGCACACGTGGCCGAGGTCAACAATTCAAGGCATCAGAATATAGCAAATCAGGGACTCACCAGATAGCTCAGCAGATTAAAGTGCTTGCTTAGGCAGACACAGAGTTTGCTGGTTTGATTCCTGGCCTTCCGTGCGGGCCCTGCACCTGAGGTGCACTGAGATGATGATTAAGACTGGGCATGGTGGCACAGGCCTGTAATCCTAGTGCTTGGGAAGCTGAAAGAAGGAGAATCACTATAAGTCTGATCTGTGTACTGAGGCCATGTAGTCCCTGTACTAAAATACCAAAAAAAAAAAAAAATCCAAAAAACAAAAACCCAGCAGCAAAATCACAATAGAGAAGCCCTGCCATGACTAAAACACATTATGGGTCATCTAGACATAACATTGAGACTGGGTGTGGTGGTGTGCCCCTGT